TGTGTTGTGCCGTTACGCCGCGGCACGAGAACGGCAGAGCGGCCGGCCGATCGGCAAACATTTTGAAATGTTTCCTAATAGCTTTTCACTTTTCGAGTTTTATCTCATTATAACTCATGACTGCACAAAGTTAAATTCTCTACAACAATAGAGAGCTTAAACTATTTCAAAGTATTCTTAAGGCAGATTTGTAACGCAAAAAGAGCTTATACTTTACTGAATGAAACCAATATTTTTCAATTATTCAAATATTCGCCTATATTTGAAAATAATTGCGAGATCTTAATCAAAGTACTCATCCTCTTCTTCGGTAATAAACAAAAATTATTCAAAAATTTGTTGTAGTTTATGTTCGAGAATTTTTTATAGCTGATTTATTTAATAAAAGGTTGATAAAATTCGTTAATATAACAATCAATTAAAATTTAATCGATTTTTTTTATTTTCTAAATTTGTTTATGAAATATATTTCTAACAGAGACCAATTCAGATATCAAAAATGAATATTTTTAAAAATTATTTGAAAATAAAAAGTAGACTGGTATTAACGTCTGACATTATATGAATAGAAGATAAGGAAAAGAGATTTTCTTAATATGGTTGTTTTATTTTACGTTATATCCTGAAGATATTTGGTATGACTTTTATGCGAGCTTGAGTACCTCATTATACCTTCTGGTAGTTTCAGAGTAGATAGTGATTGCTATATATTCATTAGGGGTGTTTTTTTTGCAAAGTATAAACTATTTTACAATGGCTAACTAATTTACAATAACCGTCTTGCAGTTATCTACCCACTTATTATCCGTTATAATTCTAACTGATAAAAATTATAATTCCATTAAAATGTTACACAAATTATAAAACTATACATTGATAAACTTGTGCACTGTAGAATAATTGAATTCTCCTACAGAGTGATATATAAATGTAAAATGAAATAAAATTATGTGATTTTTTTTCCACCAGACCATATAATCTAAAGTATAACATTTAATAAATTGATTAAGCTACAAGAATATTTTAAGTTTCTAATAAACAAATGTGAAATTTAAAATTCTATGATTTTTTCTTCTAAATTATTTCCAAAGTTTTTAATTATTAATATTTATGGCTGATTATAGTTGTTTTCAAAACAATTATAGCAAAAGAAAACAATATCTTTCAATAGAAAACAATCAAGACTAATTTTTATGATAAAATAAATTCGTTTTTAAAATATAATGGGTTTCTTTGATGAATGATCGCACTATAGAGTATATATAAAGTAGTTAGGAAATCATATTTTCAATATTTTCATAATTCATGCACTCGGATCTTATGCAAAATATAGACAAATCGATCGACTTTCATTTATGCAGAAAAACAATATCACCACAAAAGACATTCCTGTCTCTTTATTTTAATTCATTATTTTGATAACAACTAATTTTGATTGACCTGTCTCAAAATCAAGTAAAATGAATAATCTCAGGTATGAAAGTCAGTTCATATTGAAATTGTGAATAATTGTTGAAATTGCTTGTGACACAGAGGTTTCCATATAAAAAAAAACAATTAATTTTATCTTTATTTCATTTTTTTAAGAGTATACTTTTCGACCTTGTGTATAGATGTCGGTCTCTCATTATATTTTTCTCTTTTGAAAAATAATCGAAAAAAAATAAATAGCACTTTTTTATTTTACAAAAGTGTTCTCTGGTGCAATTAAATCCAAAACGAATAATTTATATCCATATACCCACAGTACTTGGCAAAGATCCTGAAAAGTTTATTAGAATTTTATTTAATTTACTTATTTGTATAATAGAGCACGCAGTTTCAAATAAAACTAAAATGAATTACGATTAATAAACTTCGACATACAGCTAATTTCAGATTGAATTTTATATCTTTCTGTTTCATCAAACAAAAAGTATAATAATAAACTTCTGATTATAGCTATTATTTCAATCTAATTAAAAAATATTTGATGAAATTTTTTTCTAAGTATTCTATTTTATTATTGAACTATGAAAATGTTCAAGTGGCATTTTCATAACATATCCTTGCTTTTCTTTTCTTACTCATGTTTCGTTTCTGAATTTGCTTTAAATTAGAAAAAAGCTTTTTCTCTCTAATATAAGTGAATCATTCGGTAAAAATAACGTTTAGTGTAATTAAATATTTGGGAAGAAAATAAAAGAAAACAAAATCAGAAATAAATGTACTTGTTGACATATAAAAATCTTGTTTGATGATATTTATTGAAATATATCAAAACAAATACAAAGTTTTTGGAATATTTTAATGATCGTATTCTGTCCAATATATTTGCTAACCGTCTTAGATAAAGATAAAGGATAATGAAAGTGTCCCTAAGATGCAAGATTTGTTGCTTTTAGATAAAAATAACCTCCGTCAAACATGCATCAACATTCGTTGATCTATTTTTCTCTTTTCATCCAACCTCTTTTTTCCAATCATATATTATTACTTTGTCATAAATTATTCTCAATATCATATTACCCTTTTTATAATCTTCTTTTTCTTAGACATCAGTTTTTTCTTAAAATCTATGTATGAAAAAGCGAATATTGACACAAAAAAAAGAAGTTTCTATAATATATGACTCTTTGGTGTGACTGATTCGATACGTTTTACTACTTTAAATATAGAACATTTGGAAATAAGACATCGAATTAAACATCGATATATATTGGAATAAAAGTTGTTCGGTGTTCCATGAATTTGTTTGGAGAATGTAACGCATATAAGCTAATTATACTATTATTTTGGCATGAAATTATGTGATCGTATTGAAAAATAAACTTATTAATAAACAAGATTCAGTATATAGAACTGAAATTTTACGACATTGAACATGAACCTTATGAGGACAACTCCATTTAAGCCAGTAAAATCTGTTATTTCTCATATGACACCAATTGAATTGTATATATGGTGGTAGGAAAAACAATCGTTAGTTTTACGTAGCCATGTAATTGGCAAAAAGTTCTAAAGTTGACATATAAACTATACACCAATTGTTCATTTCATAGATTGATAGCCCAAACACTTGAGACCGTAAATGGAAAATTTACTAAGTATGGTACCCTAATCATTTGGCAATATCCAATGCGAAATATTTATTAACCATTATTTACGCAACAAACTCAGTTAATCGGCTACTACCAGTTACCATCTCTAATCTGAAATTAATTTCAATAATAATAATGTTATATCGATAACAATTAGAAATATATATGTAACTACGTTCAATACAAGAAACACGATTGTATGAAAAATTAAGTACTACAACAGCACAATTGCGCACTACGAAAAATGAAGTTTTGTTTATAGATCATTATGTATTTTGTCGAACCATAATAATAATTATTAATGATTTTTCTTCTCGAATTCGACTGTATATGCAAGTAATTCCTCATCTGATATGTCAGGTATTATTTGAACGTTTGTACGAGCACTATTAGCCATCACAATTGCACTAACAAATTTTGGTTGATCAAAAGATTTTGGAACAATAGTTGAAGCTTGTTTTTCGTGTACGTGATGGTCAACCATAACCTTTTTTGCTTCAGCTTCAAGTTCATCAGATGCAGCTCTTTTTGCTACGCGTTTAACTGTTGTTGAATTTATCTGACGTTTCACTGTTAGAGGTATTAGTTAATTAGATAGTGCGTTCTTACCTTATTGTCATGTGTAATCGTTGATAGTTCTGAGAAAATATTCATGTTTGATGTTGAATCTATCGTGCAAGAGAGATAAGATAATATAGTTTTGGAAAATTAATCTAGTACAATGCATACTTGAGGATTGAGACATGTTCAATATAAGTTGAGGGATAAACTTAAGTGTATATGTTATAGAAATCTACAATAACCACATAGCAATCGATAATGATTCATTTCTCTAATCAATAATTATTATCCTTCGTTCTGTTTCTCTTTCACTTTCACTTTCATATATTGCGTTCCATTCTTGCTTTTTCACTTTACCGCTTCTTTTGTGTTAATCATCTTTCCTTTCCTTTTCATTTACACGAAGAATGAATCGTAGCCAAACAAGTCAGCCTATCAAACAACTGAACATAGCTCGTATTATATGAACACTTTTTCAATGGCGATAGACAGCAGATTATGTTCGAAAAAAAAGAAACACAAAAGCAGCCTGAAAAACAGTTAGCATGACCAGTCTAAGAAAAAAGTATAAGTTTTTGATAACAAATTTCTATTACCGAACCATAACTTTTCTCTTTTGTACCCGTGGTGTCAGATAGATTTGAGGTCTCTCATCTAAATTTAGTAATACCGCAAACTATGTAATATTCTGCTTTTGAAGAGTAACTAATTCAAATCATTCATTTTTTTCTAAAAACACATTCTCATGCACTACTGTTACAGACCCCTCGTAACGTGTAGTCAAATCAATCAAGGTTCGTTTACCACGCTGAATTTCCCCCACAAAAAATGTGTTATTTTATTTAGGAAAATTTGCCTTTATATACACAAGAGAAACATGAAGAAGAAGAAAAAGAAAAGAAAAGAAAAGTCGAGAGAAGAGATGGATGGTTTGGGTGCTCTTTCGTGCGTCATGTCCAGTTGGCATTGAACAATCAAAAATGACGTTATTTTAATCTTTAACAAAAGAGATGACGTCGTTTAATTCTACAATCACGAGCTAGGAAAAAAACATATATGTGAGAACCTCAATGATTCTCATAGGCGAACAAAGAAAGAGAAAAAAAAAGATTAACCTGAACGAACAAGACGAGTAGATGGATAACCAAAGAGAGTAGAAAAGACACGCGCACACTCACACACCGATACGTACACACATTCATATATACAGAAAAGAAGAGAAAGAAGAAGTATTGATGTATGTGGATATTGTTAGAGTGCTCTTTAACAACTATACATTATTTAGTATAAATAATTTTTAATACGCTCGAATTTACAGTATATTATACATATATATATATATATATATATTCTTCATGTCTAACTGTTTAATATAATATCTTCTTTTAAATATTGCACGATTTCAGAAATATCATTGCAGCATTTTTTAAAAATAAAATCAAGATTTTCGTCCTTGTCTTCTTGAAGAGATGATTGTTTATTTTCTACACCTTCTGATTCTGCAATTGAAATGGGCGAAAACATATTTATATAAAGATTTGGATCTTTATGCAAGATGTATTCATCCATTTCAAAACCAAAACTAAGTTTTTCTTCTTTAATATGCATCACATCATCCTTGATTTCAATTACATCTTCAATAATTTCAATCATATCTTCCTTTTCTTCTTCAATATGCATCACATCATCCTTGATTTCAATTACATCGTCCTTAATTTCAATCATATCTTCCTTTTCTTCTTTCTCATCATTTGTTTGTAATAAATTGCATTGTCCACAATGAACACATGGAATAGTGAATTGATTATTTTGTTGATGAGCAACAGGAAATTGAAGGATTATTGTTGATACGGGTAATATAATGGATATTGATCCATTCATCTATATTTAAAGATATGTCTTAATGAATAAAAAAATATTTTAATGATAATACTTGTTGATTATTGCTGATTGTAATAGTTGTCGTCATTGTAACAATTAAATTTTATGAGTAATATAGGTGTGTTGTTTGTCAATATCTAGAAGAACAGATGAATAGTCTATTATAGATAAAGTATCTAATAGTCGATGGTTACAAAGCATAACTTTCATTTCTCACAAAAAACCGATGGTCTTACTTTCTTTGTGGAAAATATCTTTTTCTTATACTTTCTCTATTAATCATTGGTAATTTTAGAAACACACTTGTCAAGGAGAAATTGAAAAAGCATCAATAGGTCATTATAATCAACATGAATCACAGCGTCAAAAATTTGATGCAATCCAGTTGTTCACTTATATTTTTTGACTAAAACAACCAATCAATATGAATCTTGCAAGAGAGAGAGAGAGAGAATAGAACATACATATACGCGCAACTATTAAAGAATAACACATAATAATAATGTTTAAAAATAATGTTGTTTTTTGAAGAATAGTACTGAACTAAATAGTTTATCGATGAGAACATCACCTTTTCATCGTTTCCATTGACACCAAAAGTGAAAATAAATCAATTAGTATCTACTACAACGCTATGACAAAAGATTTGCAATAACGAGAGCATGACATTTTATTCATACATGAACGAATGATTTACAAAAAACAACAATGGCTAATTAACAGCACAAGTAAGAAGAATAACTTGAGGAGTTAGTATTGACAAACAATAATGATTATTAATTTAATAAAACAAGAAATAATATTTGCTATATTTATACACATACATACAAATTGTACATAAAAAACCCTCCTAACCAAAAAAAACATCCAAAAGTTTTTGTATACAGTAATCATTTTTAACTAAAAAGTGGCTATTCATCCGCCACCACATGTTCAACTTTGCTATTCGCTCATGTACTATCATGGAAACAAACAGGACTATAATTTAGAAGCAGTCATAAAAAGTGAAGAAAACATACTCTCATGTATTTTTATATTTTGAGCCATTATTTGTTCAGAAAGACGTTGAATGAATTTTTTGAAAAATTCCTATGTGAATAGATATAGAGTTTACCATTCATATAAAGACTACTTTCATACCACATGATAAAAATTATCAAGACGATTTCTAAATGCATAACGACAGATATCAATAATCTGTTGTGGTGGAAATGGTCTAAATGTAGATTCTGAATTAATATGATCAGATGGATAGTATCTAACAAGTGATATTTCTTTTATTGATTGTGCTGCTCGAAGAGCGGCATATGTTTCTTCCTCTTTTCGAAAGAAGAGGTAGAAAATTGCTTTCCCATTCTTTGATGGAACACGACGATACTTATAATATTTCAATTGTTGATGGAATTTACCGCTCATATCATTGTTCGTTATTTCAACATCACTGCGATTGTTGAGAACTAATCTATATTCCATACTTTAATGTACTGAAATCAAAGTTGAATGTGATAATGAATGTAAAATTAGCTGAAAATTTAAAAATCGCTCGAGTTTGTTTCTTTCTTTCTTGGTAGGAAAAAATAATCTGTATTTGATCCTATCCAATAAAGAGAATTTATTGCGTGCGCAATTGATTGCGCTTTTTTAAATTACTCTCTTAAAATAGTCCATCTGATTTAAGAGAAAACTAAACATTTTACATTAAGATTGATATGAGCATCAGAATATACTCTTATAAAAGCTATATAAGAGATAGGCATGAATCTAAAGAAACTCGAGAAAAAAAATTACGTTTTATTCAATTTTCTTCTAGTTTATCGAAAAATGCATTATACCTCAACTTTTATTTATACAATTAAACATAGGACATATTCTTTTAGTATTATCGAAAAAACTCTCATTTATTTGAATAAGGTGAAACGAGGTGTGGTGAGACTCTCTCCTTGCCAAATATTATGTATGAATAAACAATGTAATCAGAATTTCTCTATAATTTTATAATTTTTGGATAAGTCTCATCACGCTCAGATTTCGCTATATATGTAATAAAAAAACCATTACATGTTTTGTTAACAGAAATGAATGTCTGCTCTCATCTTATTTTGATATATGGCATTAATTCACTGTTGACTCACGGCTACGCCTAAGAAATGATTATCAGATAAGAAAAAACTAAAAGAATAAAGATATTGTAGAAAAAGTAGCTGATTGTCTTCATACATAAAAGAAAAATAATTGTTTGATGAATCAGTGCCAAAAAGGCTCGGTGTCCACAACGGATCGGTTTGCATATTATTTAAGACTAGACTTACGTAGAATTAAGAATGTATGTTACTTACTAGAAATTGTAAATATGACCGGTAAGTAAGATCTTGAATAAAAAAACGAAGTAATATAACGTCAATTGCTGCGAGATTAGTTTGCCGAACGAAATGTCGAATACTGTTGTAGTCAGCCTCTATTTATAGTCGAACATGAGCCTATCACTATTGGTTTTTCTCAACTGCTATTGGATGGTCGCTACTTTTTGCTGGCCTTTTAACCAATCGTTGATGAGTTCGGAATTTTTTTTTCTCTCTCTCTCTCTTTATTCATAGTTGTTGAGCAAATATGTTGAAAATACTTTATCTAATTAAATATTTTTGTCTTTTACATCCAACTATAAATCAAGTTTTATGGTATGTTCTATTTGACATAATCTATTATTTATTTGCGATGTTTAGATTCAATTAGCAATCAAATTTCCTGGTCAGTTCTATATAACATAATCTATTGTTTGTTTCTTATGTTTACAATCAACTTGAAATCGAGTTTTTCTCATAAGTTCTATTTAACGTAATAAATCAAATATTTTCTATATTTAGATTAACCATCAATCAAGTTTTATAATGTGTTTTATATAAATCAATCAATTAATTGATTGGTCTATTTAGATTTGTGCAAAGGCTTCGCTTAATTTTTGATTCGAAAACTGACACATCGATTCTTAGTGTAATCAGCGATGGCTAGTTGAAACTGCGATTGAATCATTCATTACAGTACAAGGTGTCATTATCATCACGTTTCGCAAGATTTGGAAACATTTTATTCTGTGTTTGACTCTTGAGTGTAAGAAGCACTTGTGAGAATTTGGTGAGTTCAGAGACCTTAGGTCAGAAACCGTTAGAATTTCCGAGAGTACCTTTTTTAGAGTGTAGAAGGACCACATGCCAAATGCTCGCCTATCTTTTCTTTTGATGCCGATGATGCAAGTCAACAAAATCTCTATTGTTCAGAAAAATTTTCAAAAAAAAAGAATTAATCAACAAGAATAAATCGGATCCTTCTTTCAATCTGTCTCTTGTCTTTTCGAACGTTAAACGTTCCGCTATCTGATAGAAACAGTTCCATATCAACCGGTTGAAAAAAGTTTTTGTCGTGCTGATTTGATCAAAACTACATCATTTGAAAGAGCTTGAACAATTGAATATTTGGTGAAATTTTCACAAATAAGTATGGTCAATCTCGAGCAAAAATTTATAAAAAAAAAGATTCGGTATCAACAACCATGATTATATTTTTTTTTTATCTCTCTTTTTTTAATGCACATACGCATACATACATATATGTATGTATGCGCATGTGCATTGAAAAAAAACAAGAGAGATAAAAAGAAATATAGCATATCAAAATGCAAACAAGAGTATTTGTTATTGATGTTTCTGTATAAAAAAAGGATAGAAAGAAAATTTTTTTATTTGAACTATTCAATTATTTTTATATGAATTAGTTTAAAATATCACGTACATTCAATTGGTCTACTTATATTTGCTGCTAAATAATAAACAAAAAGAAAATATAAAGTTAGTAAATTTATAATTATTATGTCATAGAATAATGTCCGCATTGGAATAACTGAATGAGCATCACCAACAATTCCACTACCAACCATTGAAACAATAATTGATGTAACAGTAGATGAACTTTGTAGAATAGTTGTTATAATATTTTCAAACATTAGACTAATAATAGAATTTTTCAAAAATAGTCGACTACGAAATATTTGTCCGAATTTTGAACGACTTAATAAGATAAATACTGATGTAATTAAATCAAGCGTTAGCGTAAATAGATATAATGAAAAAATAAAAACTAAAATTTTCATTAAAATATTTAATAAATAAAGAAATTTTTCTCGTTTTGACATTATTTTCCATGATATTTGACCAGTTTCTTCATAACAATGAGCAATAAATATCATTTGTATTTCATCAACATGGATTTTTTCTTTTTAAAACGATCTTTCCCAATGAATTCATATTATTAACAGAAAAATAATTTTATGAAAATTTTTGTCAAATAATCATAGAAGGATGGAGATCTGATAACTGATTTTAATAACAAATTCGATAGTTAAAGATTGTTGATCGTTGAAATTTTCTTCAGATAAGTTAGTGTCCCCATAAGACGAATATTTTTAATGGAATTGATTAAAAAAGATTGAGATTGAAATTATTATCGGTAATAAACATATGATGAGATTCTTTTCTTTACTTCGCTTGTTCTCTTTTTCTCTCAGTTGATGTAATGCGATAATATCAAACGATTTACACACATGACTAAACAATAACCGTTTAAGATCATTAATCGAATAATTTTCTGAGAATTCTATATTTGTTGAATGATAAGTGAATGTTGAAAAAAAATTGAGTTTTTGTAAAATTCAGTTTTCCTACGGGTTAGAATTTCTTTTGATTTATAGTATCTCTTCCTTCAAACTGAAAATCATTGCCTAATTCATCTACAATTAGTATTGATTTACAATTTTATGTGGAAGAAATTTTCTTGAGAATCAAATTGTATCTCTACCATATACAATATCAAGAATGTTCTAAACATAAACATTTAACATTCAACGAATAAATAATAAAAGTTTGAAAAAGTTAAGTCTTATTCATAGTCGATTTCCTAAAAGGTGCAAAGAATAATGCATCAAGTTCGTTTGTTGACTACAAACATTTAAAAAAAAAGGTCACACATCAATTTCTTGCCGATAAAGATAGCGTCTTTTCTTTTATTTATCGTTTTCAATCATTTTCCCAACATAGAGATTGTTCATTTATTTTGTTTTCTGATAAGAGTCTCTCGTGATCTTTTTGTCTTTCTAATATTCTTTTCTGCCTCATATTAAAGAGGATCAATTAACATTTAGAAGAAAGGGAATACAAGCTAATCATTATTCCTTATTATCGCAGCTATCAATAACAAAAAAAGATTTGTCCAAATGATTAGTATTAAATTTATCCGAAATGACTTTTTGTGTATAAGACAAGGATTCTCCATGCATTAGTATTTAAATGATAATATCAAGAATGATGTGAAATCATATAAAAGAAATGGTCATTCATCAAGAAAACTTTATCAAAAGAAATATTTTTATTGTAGAAAAATTAACTAATAGAGAAAAAAAGATACAACATCAGCAGGTTAAAGAGATCAAAGAAGATGAGATAGGATGAGATAGATCAGGAAACATAATAAACAAACAATCTTTTAGCTAGGAAGATGAGTGAAAAAGATACATAAAGCAATAAAGATGGTTCTTATTAAGACAAAAGTACTCTATGGCCATTTTTAGGGTGTGGGTGTGGGTGTGGGTATAGGTGTGGGTGTGGGTGTGGGTGTGGGTATGGGTGTGGGTGTGGGTGTGGGTGTGGGTGTGGGTGTGGGTGTGGGTGTGGGTGGGTGTGTGTGTAAGTCGTTCTTCTTACACGCACACCCACATCAATATTCCACACACCCACACCACCCACACCCACACCCACACCCACACCACCCACCCACACTCACACCGCACCCCACACCCACACCCACACCCACACCCCCAAATTGACAGATTCAAGAAAATTATTCAGAACTTTGATATGAACAAACCACAAATATTTATGAAAAAAGCAAGTCAATTTGAGTTGAATTTCAGCCTCTGTTTGACTCTCTGCTCTAATTTGAAATAAAAAGGAGTAGCGATGATCAGATGTACAATTTCTTGCTGTAATTGGAGAGTTTTTGTTATTAGCGAATTAATGAACTACTCAGTCAAAATCATAGCGAATCCCAAGCGAAGCGTTAAGACTATCACAAACCTCCATACCGATATGAGCCAAATCAACGATCTCAAAATTTCAGCTTTCTTTCATGCCTATTACTTGAGTAATTGCTTTTAAAGCAGTTCTTGAGATACATGAGAAATCATGAAAGCAGCCATAACTTTAGTTAAGTTACGGCTCAGAATACAGTATTTCTAAAGATGGTTTAATTTTAGGATTCTTCCAGATCTTCGAATTTTGGATCAGTTATTCCATTATCTCAAAACCTCTCGGTGTGAACCCCGGAATCCTTTTTCTTTTGAGCTACATCTAGTTCTTCTTATTAACTAACTGAAAATGACTGCAGTGAAAACCGAACCCGAATCCGAACGCGAACCCCGAGACCGAACCCGAACCCGAACCCTGATACCGAACCCGAACCCGAACCCGAACCCGAACACGAACGTTCGGGTTCGGTGCATGCCTAGTTGAAAGTATGGGATTGCTGTTCAAATTGTAAAATTAGAAAAAAAGCTTTCTATATCAGAATAGATGGGAATATTGACTTTTTTTTCTGTCTTTTCTATCCTACGAAAAATAGTATTCTGTATGCCAATATTTAGAAATCATTTTTCTATCTTAGCCAAGCAGCAAAAGATGAATTTTCTCCGTCGGGAATAGACGCTGTCTTTAATTTGACGATTTCGAATTGGACAGTTAACAATGACTATCTTTTTTTCTAAAGTAGGAAAAATAGCAATTCACTTAGAAAAATGTTATTTATTTAAAAAAAAGAGTGATTTTGGTAATCAGATGGATAAGTAGAAAGGGTGTGAATGTGGGTTATCGCTATGGATGTGATAAAAGAAGATGATCGTCCTGTACACCTACACACCCCTTTCACATAAACATAGAATAATCTACTCTTATGCGTAGAATAATAAAGGGTGTGGGTGGGTGTGGGTGTGGGGTGTGGGTGTGGGTGGGTGTGGGTGTGGG